TTTTATTGCATTTATTTATTCGTTCTATCTATTATTTTCTATTCGTCATCTCATTGTGATAATTTATGTACGGCGATCGCATTCGTTGTGTTCAGGTCCTGTCAGCACTCAATCGAAACTATCATCCTGCATGCTTCACCTGCACTGCGTGCGGAATGTGCCTGGATGGCGTTCAGTTCGCCCTCGACAAAAACAACCAGGTAAATCATGTAGGAGATTTGAGGCACAGGATTTCGTCTCAACTTTTGGGCTGTACTGCGTCAGACGTTCGTAAAACGAGTATTTGTTGACATTCCTACTTTCATTCGGGTCCAGGAATTCTGGGTAGGTCCTGGTAGGGAGCATTCTCTTTCAGGGTCTAGCGTAACCCCAAGGAAAACAGCAGCGGCGCTCATGTCCTTAAGAAGGGGGACACTCGAAACAGGGTCTTCAAAAACCGCTGATAGGTGACATTAGACTAAGCTGAAGAGAGGGAGAGAAATTTCCGAGAGAACTAAAGTTGTTGACATACTCGGCTAGAATCTCTTCCCATTATTAAAGGACCCAAGTACAGAGCCCTAATGTGATCCCCACCCCCTGAATGAGCGCCATAACAGCGTAGGAGCCCCCCTCGTTTCCGCATGCGCCAAAAATTGTTTGAAAATAATTAAATCTTCTCCTCCCTCTGTTCAAACCCCAAAGCTTACAAAATCCACAATAACTGGCTATTCCGTGAAATGAGACCATAACCTTTGCGAATATTACAATCCGTCCAGCCACGGATTCCGCAACGTATGCCCCTAGCCTTTGTTTAGCCCTATTCGTATTACTCCGCAAGTTTTCAGGTGTACTGCTTACCGGATTACCACGAGCGCTTTGCACCGCGCTGCCATCGATGTAAAAACACAATTCTACCCGATGAGGTCAACATTTTTCATTTTTTATACTATACGATGAAATAACAAATAAAACACTAAGAATTAACTTCCTGCTTCAGAATACTGGTGAAACGGTGCGGATCGTGGCATTGGACAACAACTATCATGTGGACTGCTATTCCTGTGAGGTACGATTTGACCGGAATTTCATATTTATTCCTTACGAAAATAGAAGAAAAAATTTGAATGCTTGCTCAGTTGAGGGGAATCACGGGGC